TGGTTCATGGTGTGGAAATTGGAATTGGGTGCTCTTGCACTGAGACAGGTATTTCATGCCTGGCTTGTGTTGGGGGGGCAGTTGCCTTTGTTCCAGGCAAGAGAGCAGATGCATGTCAGTGTACAGCTGGCTGGGGCTGCACATACACAGCACAAACACATGTGCACACAAGCACATGCGCACACTCCCAGCCAGGTGCACATTGTGCAAAGCAGCCCTTCTCAGCTATCCCACTCCCCACAGGACAAGTCCTTCTGGGCACAGCCCTGCTCACAGCCCATCCTCTCCTGGCATCCCCCTTGCCAGCAGCTTGTAGGGAGGTGCATCTCATCCTTGGTGCATCTCTGGGGAATAATGGATGGGTCTCCCAGGCTGGCACTGGGGAAGTGTGGCAATGGTAGGGTGAAGTTACAGCTGCTGTCTGGAGACCAGGTCTCCTTTGTCTCCACTGTGCCAAGGAAGTGGGTGCCTCTCTGCTGCTGGGGCTCCTGGAAATCCCTGGAAATCAAACTGTCGGACAGTTGGGCAGGGAGATGTGGCCCCAGTGAGTGCTGTGGGCTTGCAGGAAGTGTCTTGCAGTCATGGGGCTGTGCACAGCCACACACACCCATGCATGTGGGTGTGCATACCTCTACTTTGGCGTACACGCAGACAGCACCCACATGTGCATATGTGCACACATACGTGCACCATTTCTCCTCTGCAAACCATGGGAGAGCTGCGGGGGCGCGCAGGAAGTGCACTGCTTGCTCCTTCTCATGGCTCTAGGGTGGGACTCTGCAGTTTATGATGGGCTCTGTGCTGAGCCTCCTTGGCAGGCAGAGAAGGGGGGGGAATCTGTGTGTCCTTGTGGGAGCTGACCTGTTGTGGCAGAGCTGGAGCCATGAGGAATAGCCCTTTATTACAGGTAAAATGCAAGGAGCAGTTCCTCACTGAAGAGGATGATGGGTTGAAAATGGGCTGCACCTGGGCAGAGCCTGAGCAGCCAGGGCCAAGGGCTCATCAGGCTCCAGAGGATGAGTGTCCACAGCTCCAGGAACTGGGCTTGAGGCAATGTTGAACCAGGCATGATGATGCAGACTGTTCCAGGGCTGGAAGATGCAGCTGGGACAGCTGACATCAGCCCTGGGGACACACTGAAATGACACAGCCCCAGCCCCTCCTGCCTCCGGGCTGCTGGTTTTGGGGCATGTTCAGATCCTGGGTGGGCCTGGTCTGGGAGGGGTGCTGCACCCCCCCAGCCCCCCACCCTCCTGAGAGCCCCTTGGGTCTCCTCTGCAGATGGGCTCTTCGTGACTGACTACTTCACCCACGCACCACGCAAGCTCAGCCCCTTCCGCTCCTTTGCCAGCATCGAGCTCTTCCACTTCCACATCCCCGAGGACACGGTCATCGCTGTCTGGAACCTCATCACCTTCAAGGAGCAGGGTGGCACCTTCGGGGACCAATGCCCAGACCATAGCATCACTGTGTGAGTAAGCAGCCTGCCCTGACTCTTCCCTTCCTGCCTGCCTCTGCCTGCCCCTGCTGCCCCCTGCCTGGACTTGCCTTGGAGCCTGCCTGCTCTTGTCTGCTTCTTGCTTGCACATGCACATGTGCATGTATGTACATGCATGCACACATACAGAGGGGCACTCATGCATACAGATGCACATAGGCATGCATATGCAGGTACACGTGTGCACACATGCATGCACACAAATGCATATATGCACATACATTCACATACACACATGTGTGCACACTCACTCCCCATGATTCATCTTCCCAGGACCGTTGCAGGCTCCACTTTTTTGTGCTTCTCATACATGAACAGTTTTGCTTGAACACCCACCCAAGGAAGGTCACAATCTTCAGCAAGGTCCCAGCTTACAGATGGCTTCCCCATCATGTCTTTGAGCTTCCTAATAGCATGGAGGACAGACTTTCACGTGTAGGGCAGGCTGGCCCTGCCATGATGCCCAGCCTACGCCCTGCTAATAATTGCTGTCTCTCCTGCAGGTATTTCCGCTCAGGGGCTCCCTCCGTCATTAACCCGCTGCACATGCACTTCCCCAGGGACACAGCTGTCCCTGGCTCCTTCACACTGACCCTCACCTGGACCCTGCCCAACCGCACCACGGGGGTGTTCAATGTCACCAGCCCACTGCCCGGGGACTGGTTCCTGGCTGCCCACCTGCCCAAAGATGAGGGCAAGATCTCTGTCAAGGTGAAGGGCTTGGGGGAACTGTGGGGCTCGCTGCAGGGCTCTGCTGGGGCCTGACTGTCCTGGGCTGGCAGTGCCCAGGGCAGGTGTCCCAAGTGGGGCACATGGGGGGCAGGAGGACTACCACATCTCTTGGTGGGGGTCCTGGGCACATCCAGATGGAGGGCACCTGGGCAGACTGCACCCCAACCCCTTGCCACGGTGTGGGGTCAGCAGCTGGGGGATGGTGGCTCTGTGTGGCCAGTCCCCCCCGCCCCATGCTGACTGTCCTGCTGGTGCAGGGGCTCTACAAGGAGTGCCAGTATCTCTTCCAGCCACAGCTCATTGTGCAGCGCCTGGTGAACATTGCTGTGCTGTACCCCGGTTATGTCACCAAGCAGAGCATGGCCCCCCACAACCACTCCTGCCTCTACAAGTGAGTGCGAGAGGATCTCCTAAGGAGGAGGCATCCCCAGGGTGGGGAGCTTAGGGTGCCCCATCCTTGTGGCTTGCCTCCCCAGCCCTGTTGGTCCACACTGAGGGGCAGGACCTGACACTGCTGTCCCACAGGATGTTCGTGCCCAGCTACACATCACGCATTCTGGTGGAGGTGCTGCGGTGCCGCGGGGCTGAGGGCTGCCCACTCTGGCTGCGCATGCGGGCCAAGGCTCCCCCCCTGCACAACTCCACATCACTGGACTGCTGGGAGCATGCTCCCTGCCAGCTGGCACTGGACCTGCCCTTCTGGCAGCACTGGTACTACGTGCTGGTGGAGAAACACGCTGGGGTGCCGGGCACTGTTTCCTTCCAGGTCACCATGCAGCTCACAGGTAAGGGTGCACGGGGAGGTCTGGGTGGGGGGCATGGTCTTGACTGCTTGGGCAACTGGTGGGGGGGGAAAAGGATGCCCACAGGATCTGGCCCCATCTGGGCACAGGGTGATACCCAGCTCTGCTGAGATGAGGACACTGGGAGGCATTGGAGCTGGGTTGCAGATGCAGGTGAGTGGTGGGCAAGAAGGGGAGGTGGGAGCTAAGAGGGGACTGGAGGGGCTGTGCAGGGCCCAGGCTGATGGCTCTGCCCTCCAGACTGCTCCCGACCCAGCCTGGCCCGTCCGCCCTTCCTGCCCTCCAGTGCCTCCATGAACATGCCCCGCTCCTTCGGCTCCGCGGGCGGGCTGGTGCTGGGGGA